CAACAAGTTCAACACACACACAACAAGTTCAACACACACAACAAGTTCAACACACACACAACAAGTTCAACACACACACACAACAAGTTCAACAAACACACAACAAGTTCAACACACACACAACAAGTTCAACACACGCACAACAAGTTCAACACACGCACAACAAGTTCAACACACGCACAACAAGTTCAACACACACACAACAAGTTCAACACACACACAACAAGTTCAACACACGCACAACAAGTTCAACACACGCACAACAAGTTCAACACACACACAACAAGTTCAACACACACACACACAATTTCAACACACAACAAGTTCAACACACACACAACAAGTTCAACACACACACAACAAGTTCAACACACACACAACAAGTTCAACACACACACAACAAGTTCAACACACGCACAACAAGTTCAAACACACGCACAGCAAGTTCAACACACACACAACAAGTTCAACACACACACAACAAGTTCAACACACACACAACAAGTTCAACACACACACAACAAGTTCAACACACACACAACAAGTTCAACACACACACAACAAGTTCAACACACACACAACAAGTTCAACACACCACACAACAAGTTCAACAACACACACAACAAGTTCACACACACACACACAGCAAGTTCAACACACACACACAACAAGTTCAACACACACACAACAAGTTCAACACACACACAACAAGTTCAACACACACACACAACAAGTTCAACACACACACACACAAGTTCAACACAAACACAACAAGTTCAACACACACACACAACAAGTTCAACACACACACACACAAGTTCAACACAACACAACAAGTTCAACACACACACACACAACAAGTTCAACACACAACAAGTTCAACACACACACAACAAGTTCAACACACACACAACAAGTTCAACACACACAACAAGTTCAACACACACACAACAAGTTCAACACACACAACAAGTTCAACACACACACAACAAGTTCAACACCACACACAACAAGTTCAACACACACAACACAAGTTCAACACACACAACAAGTTCAACACACACACAACAAGTTCAACACACACACAACAAGTTCAACACACACACACAAGTTCAACACAAACACAACAAGTTCAACACACACAACAAGTTCAACACACACACACACAAGTTCAACACACACACACAACAAGTTCAACACACACACAACAAGTTCAACACACACAACAAGTTCAACGCACACACACAACAAGTTGCTTGCGTTCTCCCACCCACGTGACCCATCTCTCTCCTGACGTCAGCGTTCGAACGACCGCTTACGAAGAAGTAAACCAATTTCAATCAACTAATAAGTATAACCCGTAAAAACAAAGTTTTTCACTATAAATCCTTTATATGCGAGGCAGCGAACTTAATATAAAGGATTTAAAAATATATTCGCCTGTGAAGGACGCGGGGATCGATCCCGCGACCTTTGGCATGGGAAGCAAGGGCGCTACCAACTGCGCTACTCCGCCACGGCCTGTGGAGGGGTTACGCTCTGGGCTCTTACACTGTGACGTTCAGCCAAAGCGATGAATGAGTTCTATTTGAATATATGTAAAATCATTTTTTTTTGCCTAAAAAGTGTAAAATTTTGGGAATTTTTTTTCACGAACATTAATTGTCTGGCACAACGATTCTGTGTGGAAAATGTCAGCTCGATTGGATCACGGGAAGTGGGTTAAAAAACGACCGAAAGATTTGCACGGTCGTAAGCAAGCAAGCAAGCACGCAAGCAAGCATGCGAACTTAATATAAAGGATTTAAAAATGCGGAATGCCTCTTCGGTCTCTCTATGCGTCCATCTGTAAGGTGGCGTCGCGATGGAGCTCTCGTACAGATCCACTAAAACTATTTTTTATTTTACACGGTAAGGCCCCACTGAGCTACGGAGCTATTGATATCTCAGCGAAGTGGCTCATCGCGTGGACACTTATAGCAGCCAAACCAGACCCATAGACTCACATAGAGATCCATAGACCCACACAGAGACCCGTATACTCACATAGAGACCCATATACTCACATAGAGACCCATAGACCCACACAGAGACCCGTATACTCACATAGAGACCCATATACTCACATAGAGATCCATAGACTCACATAGAGACACAGATTCACACAGAGACCCATATACTCACACAGAGACCCATAGACTCATATAGAGACCCATAGACTCACACAGAGACCCATAGATTCACATAGAGACACATAGATTCACACAGAGACCCATATACTCACACAGAGACCCATAGACTCACATAGAGACCCATAGACTCACATAGAAACCCATATACTCACACAGAGACACATATACTCACACAGAGACCCATATACTCACATAGAGACCCATATACTCACAGAGAGACCCATAGACTCACACAGAGACCCATAGACTCACACAGAGATCCACAGACTCGCATAGAGACCCATATACTCACACAGAGACCCACAGACTCACATAGAGACCCATATACTCACACAGAGACCCATAGACTCGCATAGAGACCCACAGAGACCCATAGGCTCCCATAGAGACCCACATACATGCATAAGACTGAGACGAGGTCAATCTGGGTGCTCAAGTGTAGCGAGGTGATCGTCTCAGCCCGGTTACCAAAACCACACCTACCCCACACAAACCCCATCGATACAGTGGGTGCTGCGTAAAAATTTGGGCTAAAGTCGCAGCTCTTGCCGTGACTATGAAAGTATCGGCTTCTCTGCCGCCGTCTGTGGCAAGGCGCGTGGAGATATCCGCCCCCTGGCGTTTAGAGAGACGAAATGGCAGGAATAGATACCGCTCCAAGCCACGTGTGCCGCTCCAAGCCACGTGTGGGCATGCACTCGTCACGCACGTGGCAAGAGAAACCCGCAGAACAACGCAGCGGACGGAATATCGACGCACAGAGAAAACCAAACCCCGTTGTTGACTTCATTGCCTCCGAGCTCAGTGGGGGAGGTCACTCCTTCTCTTGTGCTGCCCCCACTGTCTAAAACGCATTTCCGTCGAGGCTCTGGACTTTCCTTTTATCTTTTTGGTTCTTTCGGTAAAGTCACGTAGAATGGAAATGATAAAATAATAAACATAAAACATGATTAAATAATTCTCATGACGTTTCGGCCACAACGCAAGTAGCCGTCCTCAGGTGGAGAACAGGTCTGTCGAGGAGTCCGAATTTGTTATTTTATTCTTTCCATTCTACGTGACTTTACCGAAAGAACCAAGAAGATGAATCCCTGCAGTCACGAAAGCTTTAAATCGAAATTTTCTTGAATCGTTCGCCTACGATCCAACTGCCTCTCGAATGTAACAAAAAAAAAGTTTGTATATTGTTTTTTACACATCCCATCAGCCAGGGAGGGAGTGACTTTTTGCTTGGTTGAACGCGAAAAAAAACCTTCGACCAGATTCAGCGTCCCGCCAGCTTCGCCAGACGTCCGTGTGCGCGCCGCGTGCGTTGAACTTCTTCCGCGGCGTGCGTGGCCAAGCGTGCTGACCGGAGGCGCGAGGACCACTGCCCGTCGGCGGTTACATGCGGGACCGGCCCGACGGGAACGGGAAGTCAGGAGATCTTTAACGACCGGCGTGAGTGGAGCGGACGGTGCGCGGTCGTGGCATCGTCTTCATCGTCACGGTTTTCACCGCAACGAGCCCGCAGCATTAACCAGGGGCGGCCCGCCGGGCGGGGTTCCAACCGCGAACATCGAGGGACGAGCGCGACGCACCCCACCCGCGCCGCCCCGTCCAATCACGACCGCGCGCGTCGCCACGCCGACGAATCGACGAGCCGCGTCGATGTAGCGCGGTGTAGTGGGGGGATGGGGGGAGAAGTTGGGGGGGAGGTGGAGGAATGGGGGGGCAGGCTGGGGGGCTAACATCATTACCGCTCCCACATTCACGTCGCCGCCTGACCCACCCAGGCCGATCAATCATCGCGGATGTCCCATCGTCGCACACGCGCTCCGTTATTACCATCCCCGTGCAAAAAGTTTTTTCACTTCTCCCCCCTCGCCCCCACCCCCCCTCTCTCCCCTCCCCGCAACAACCGCCTAACACCTCCCTTCCTTCCCGCCGTTTAATATTAAAACCCGCGGAGGCTCCGTCATTTGCATTGAAAACAAATTGCCCGGGGTCAGCCGACGTCTAATTCCGGCCCGCGGCCACCGCCGCCGCCGCCGCAGACGCTCCGTGACAGACTGGCTCCGTAACCGTGCCCGATTCTCCGAGATCTTAACCAATGAAATTGCGAATCGGGTTGATAAATATCGCTTTTTTTCTTCCCGTCCCGGGGGGTACGAGGCCTCTCGCCGTTTTTTTTTCTTTCTCTCGTTTAATGGGATTGTTTTTTTTCGCTCCACACTTTGGACCAATTTACGTGGCGAGTCAAAGCCGCGTCCCGCCAGTCGGCGTCGGCTCTTCGTCGATCTGGGGGGGGACTCCGCTGGCAATCGGCGATCCACCTTGTGCCCGGAGAGAGAGACAGGGGCCGCCGGAATAAAAGGAGACCGAACCGCGACCTGCAGGCCCGGCGAGCCGAAGGCACCTAGCCTGGCACGAGCGCTGTCGCTGCCACTTAGATACGGGAGAGACGGACACCCAGAAACGCGCACTCTTAACACACAAACAAAGATGCCCCCGTGTAGCCTTAACAGACTGTAGGGGCAAGTGCTGTTAGCGAGCACCTACGAAGGCCGAAACGGCACACGAGGGGGGAGGGTGGTCAGCACCACGCCCGGCCGCCTTTGGCGACGTTTACACACCGCACCAGGAAGTAAGTTGAGGCTGAGTCGACCTAGGGGAGGCCCCAGCCCGATTCAGATAATCGTCACCGGTGTTGGCCGTGAGCGGCTCGCCGGGTTCGTAGCGCAGCGGCGCTGACCAGCACGCCGCCGCTCCACATCGACACACACGCACGGTGACACGTGCAGTGGTACGCGCACGCAACGCACGTACTTGACAGAGCAGCAGAGGCAGCCGTTGCGGAGTTCCAGCCACTCCTCGTACAGCTCTCCGGCCTGACCCACGGCAAGGGCCTTCTCCATCGCGCTGCCTGTCCGTCCACCACCACACACACGCACGCACGCACACAAAACAAAGACAGAGATCCCCCGCGTAGCCTTAAAAGACTGTTGGGGCAAGTGCTGTTCGCGAGCATCACCTTGGCAGGCCGGCACGGCACACAGTACCACGCGATGTTTACACACCGCGTCCAGGTACTCATTTGAGGCTGAGTCGACCTGGTGGAGGCCCAGAACCGGTTCAGATAATCGCCACTGAAAGGTGACCGGGAATCGAACTCGGGTCGCCAGGTTCGTAGCGCAGCGCGTGAACCGCTACACCACCGTACGCGCACACACACACACACGTGTGTGTCGATCTTTCATTCACCCACTCATTCATTCATTCACTCAGTCATTTAAGATTAATTTACCGATTCAATTTCTTCACCAATGATTGAATGTATCAATTCATTCACGAATGAATTCATTCACTGGCTCGTTAATTGCATTATTGACCACCTCTATTCATTCACCGTGTATTTACCTATTGAATTAATGAATTAACCGATTCATTCGGATGCACTCGTACAACTGTTAGAAATTAATTCATTCAGCGAAGACTCAATTCACTCATTCATTCACCATTCACGACTGTACCCCCATTGTACTGATTCAATTATCTAACCCATTCAAGCCACGTATTCATTCATGTATTAATCCATTAAGTCATTCGTTATCGCAATGTCTTCATTCGCCCATCCATTCACCAATTCTGCCATTCATTCGCCCAACTCATTCGAGATGATTAGCCAAAGCGAATTATCATCTCGCGGTACAAAGATAAACACTCTAGAGGAGACAGATAGATAGATAGATCGTTTATTGTCATTGTCACCCCCCCACCTCACCCCCCCACACCTCACCCCCCCCACACCTCACCCCCCCCCCCCCACATCTCACCCCCTCACACCTCCCCCCCACCTCCCCCCCCCCCACACCTGACCCCCCCACATCCCCCCACACCTCACCCCCCCCACCTCACCCCCCCCCACACCTCACCCCCCCCCCACATCTCACCCCCTCACACCTCCCCCCCACCTCACCCCCCCCACACCTGACCCCCCCACATCCCCCCACACCTCACCCCCCCCACCTCACCCCCCCACACCTCACCCCCCCCCACACCTCACCCCCCCCCCACATCTCACCCCCCCCACACACCTAACCCCCCCCCACACCTCACCCCCCCACCTCACCCCCCCCACCTCACCCCCCCCCACACCTCACCCCCCCCCACACCTCACCCCCCCCACACCTCACCCCCACCACACCACACCCCCCACCCCTCCCCCCCACAAGGACAGACGCTGGTGGACCACGTGACCGTCGCTAATTGGGGTAGTTAGCGGCGGGGCGCGTGCGCCTTTATTTCCGCGCGGGGCGCGTAACGCCGAGAATGACGGCGATGATTTTGATTAAAAACATCGCTAATTTACGACGACTCGCCTGCTAAGAGGCCGGCGGTGGTTGGTGGTGGGTGGTGGTTGGTAGTGGTGGCGGTGGTTGGTTGCGGTGGTGGTTGGTGGTGGTGGTTGGTGGTGGTGGGTGGTGGCGGTGGTTGGTGGCGGCGGTTGGTTGTGGTGGTGGTTGGTGGTGGTGGTTGGTGGTGGTGGTTGGTGGTGGTGGGTGGTGGCGGTGGTTGGTGGCGGCGGTTGGTTGCGGTGGTGGTTGGTGGTGGTGGTTGGTGGTGGCGGTGGTTGGTGGCGGCGGTTGGTTGCGGTGGTGGTTGGTGGTGGTGGTTGGTGGTGGTGGCGGTGGTTGGTTGCGGTGGTGGTTGGTGGTGGTGGTGGTTGGTGGTGGTGGCGGTTGTTGGTTGCGGTGGTGGTTGGTGGTGGTGGTTGGTGGTTGGTGGCGGCGGTTGGTGGTGGCGGTGGTTTTTGGTGGTGGCGATGCGGCTTGTCCCCCCCCCCCCAATCCACTAAAGCCTCTCCTTCATCTGTGCGTCCGTCTGTCTGCGTGTCTGTGCGTCTGCCTGTGTGTCTGTGTGCCTGTCTGTGTGTCTGTGCGTCTGTCTGTGTGTTTGTGCGTCTGTCTGTGTGTCTGTGTGTCTGTCTGTCTGTGTGTGTGTCTGTACGTCTGTGTGTCTGTGTGCCTGTCTGTGTGTTTGTGTGTCTGTGCGTCTGTATGTGTGTTTGTGCGTCTGTCTGTGTGTCTGTCTGTCTGTGTGTGTGCGTCTGTGTGTCTGTGCGTCTGTCTGTGTGTCTGTGCGTCTGTGCGTCTGCGTGTCTGTGTGTCTGTGTATCTGTGCGTCTGCCTGTCTGTTTAACCATCGATCTGTCCATCTGATCCAGCAGCAACACAGCTCGCTTGAACTGGAGACGGAGCTGAGAGAAAACGAACGGCGCGCTCGCCGGTGACGATGAACATGTATCAATGATAAATAATCCAGAGCCAACGTGCCACAACCGTGGCATACATCACAAACATTACCGCCATGAATAGTGAAGACCATCAAGTGGAATATATTTTTTATGCGTAATGCCTTTTCAGTCAGTCTGTCTGTAGCGTGGGGTCATGATAACTCTCGTACAGATTACCTGTAAAATGTTTTGTTTAATTTTGTAACTGTTATTTTATAAGCTATCTTAAACTATTTTTTGTTATTTTACCGGGTAAGGAGCCGTCCAAAAATTATACGTCACGCGATTTTGGACGATTTTTGACCCCCCCCCCCCCCCCTTCATCACACGACGTCACAAAAAGTCAGACCCCCCCTCAAATATGACGTCACAAAGCTCTGCCCCCCCCCCCCCCAAAAAAAAACACATGCTTCAAATCGCTTTAAACTATTGTCATTGTAGTGCGTATTTAATGTGGCGCTGCACTCTGATGTTGCAGGAGAAAACATTTATTAAAAAGTCTATTTAATTAAGTAGAACGTGTTGTCTATATTTATTTAAAGTTGCACATTTTGATGTGACGTCACATTTCTCAAACCCCACCCCCCCTCGTCACACATCGTCACCAATGTCTGACCCCCCCCCCACCCCCAGGTGCGTGACGTCATTTATGGGCGGCCCCTAAGGCCCCACTGAGCTCTATAGAGCAATTCTCTTCAGAAGCGGCCTGGCTGTCACAAATGAAAGCTCAACGAAGCGGGCTTACCGCAGAGGTCGCAAACGGGTTTTGATTCCTTACCCGTACCCGTACCCGGCCGCACCAGGGTCGCAAACGGGTACCCGTACCCTACCCGATACCCGGCTACCTGTACCCGGCCAGGTATCGGATAGGGTACGGGTACCCGATTGCGACCTCTGGGATGAAGCCATGTTGCAGGCGCGGGTGGGTTGATTCTAGGAACGCGGGTGGGTTGATTCTAGGAACTTGAATTGTGAGAAGAGACAAGACGTTGGGAAATGAGTGACAAACGGTTACTCACCAGTGACTCACGGTCTACCCGTACCCGGCCGCACCAGGGTCACAAACGGGTACCCGTACCCGGGTACGGGTAGCCGGGTATCGGGTAGGGTACGGGTATCGGGTACCTGGCCGGGTACGGGTAGCCGGGTATCGGGTAGGGTACGGGTATCGGGTACCCGGTTGCGACCTCTGGCTTACCGTCACGTCGAAATGTGTCGCAGCCAAATGACTCTTAAACGCGTGACGTTCATTCTACATGCGGAGGGCGAAAAACCCTAGAGGGTCCGGAGAAAAATTCCCACGCGACCACGGGGAGAGAGAGAGAGCGAGAGAGCGAGCGAGCGACATCGCAAACTGCAAATATACAGCAGCAGCAGCAGGCGTCTATCAGAGCAGTGATTGAACCCACGACCTCCCGTACACCAGGCGAGGTCGCTAACATCTCGCCACCGTGCTGCCCGGACGGCGTGACGACGAGCGAAACTTCGAGCGTGAAGTCGTCTTGCTATCAGGGGGGGGGGAGGGGGCACATCTCACCGCGGAGAGAAAAGCGGCCGCGTCGTTCGAAGCGCGACCCAAAACCAGGCTCGAAAACAAGGGAGGTGCAATTTGAAAGTACAGTACAACATTCAAATGCATTTGGGGGGGGGGGGGGTGTCTCTGACAGCAACCCGGCCGCAGCGACTTCCGTAGCGCGAATGAGAATCGCGATCTTGCACTCAGAGCGCAGGCGAAGAGATCCGACGGGCGATGAAACTCCGTTTCACAGGTGCCAGGGTCAGTGCGGGTCGGCAAGTGACGCCGGCCGCAAACAACGCGGCAAGAAACGATCTGGAGCGGCTACATAGACAGAGAGAGATCAGCAAGGAACTGAATTCTAGATTTGAAGCTTTCGTGACTGCAAGGATTCATATTCTTGGATTTTTTTCGGTAAAGTCACGTCGTGATTTTAATTTTATTTAAATTTTACTTTTATTTTTATAATTTTAATTTTTTACCTACGTGACTTTACCAAAAAAAACCAAGAATAAGGAACTGAATATAAACAACGCCGTGGAAACCTCCCGGTTTCAACCTTCCACCTCAACCTTCCTGGATGTTTCTGTTTGCGCCATAGTCACTTCAAGATGTTTTCTTGGTCGTGTTTTAGTTTTTTGTTTTTTTGCGGTTGCACACCGATTCAAGAGCCGAATGGCTCACAGGGCTATACAAAATAAATGAAACTGAAAATTGAAACTAAAACGTCGCCAAAGGTCGTCGACAATAGACCGAATCGGAACCGGGCACGGCCGATGTGGCCACGTGGTGCACAAACGGCGCATCGAAGATTCGGCGTCCTGCGAGTGGTGCGGTCACGAATCGCAAACCGTCGACCCTCATCGTAAACACGCTGCCGCTGCCGCTGCTGCTGCTGCCGCTGCTGCCGCTGCTGCCGCTGCTGCCTTTACGTCTTTACATTGGGAACGGACGAGATGCACTCTGCTTCTGAGTTGATAACAAATCGAAACATTGCATCTTTAACCTGCTGCCACGAATCCGCACGAAAGGAGAAGGAAAAACACGTCGTTATTTCATTTTTTTAAAGTCTGAATTGTTCGGCTTTGGGCCAGGGCGCAATGAAAACAACAAC